TACATAAGGTAAGGAAAATTTGCTACATCAATAGTTATTTCTGCAGATTTTATGAATTACGAATTTAATTAAAATTTGTTTATTTTATTAGTCATCTCCATCAAGTGTTGAAGGCTTCCAATTGGAGGAAACAATTTGTGTTTGTTAACCCTTGTGTCGTTAGTGGAAAAACAATGGCTGGAGAGAAATCAAAATCAGTGTTGCTTGCAAGAAGATTAGAGGACGCTATGCTAGAACAATTGGTTTTAATTCCTTATAATATTGGGTAATTATCTAAAACTATTTATTTCATGTGTTCAAATGATAATAAACTTATTAAGCTTATACTTGTGACTTGTTCAATTGTAGGTACCATTGGATATTGTTAGTCATTGATCTAACATTGATGATTGTGTACTTACTTGATCCGATTAATTCTAAAATAAACACAAGCTTTGAAATTGTAATAAACACGTAAGTTTGGCTAGTTCGTACATTTTTAAGCAATTTGAGTTACTCTAAAAATATTTTGACATTTGGAATTTCTTTTGTAAAGTGCTTTGAAAATTTATGAAACTACCCAAAGGAGGAGGAGGACCAATCCAGTTTGGAAAGTAGTTCAGGTAATTAATATCATTTTCTCTAATTTTATCATACTTATATTATGCTAATGATTGTTCAGCTTGATCATAACACTTTATATATAGTTTCTAATAATAATGAAAATGCTTTTATGTAGTCCCCGCAACAACCTACAAACGTGGAATGTGGGTTTTATGTAATGCGGTATATGAAAGACCTCATTAAAGATCAAAGCATATATTTATGTGTACTAATTGCATTTATTTTATATTATCTTAACTGTTCATCTTTCTTATATAGTAATGTAATATTGTAGGATGAGTTGACCAAACAAAAAAGTGATGGGAGTTTAAAGATTGAAGGATGCAATGACATTCTACCTGTCATTTTGAATAGATGTGGAATCAATTAAACTAATTTATTTGCTACCTGTCTTTTTGAATAGATGTGGAATCAATTAAACTAATTTAGATTGGCTTCTCCAGATCAAAAAATTACAGAACCATAATAGAAATCATGATTTCACCTGAAGTGTCCACACTCCTTTAGGACCTCGGAAATAAGGTATCCCACAAGATGTTGATATTCCTGCACCTATAAATACTACTAGGTGCTTACTCTGCAAGTATAGAAGAAGAAATTCAAAACGGTTAAATAATAATTAATCTAGAAGAGATGTTTTTGAAGATGTAAGAGACAATGTGATTAATTAGTTTTAGATTTTAGAAGTCCTTAACCTTCTGTATCATCAGCGCAAGCTTTTTAATCTGCCATTCAACAGTAAAACAAATGATATCAGAGAGCTGAAACAAGATCACAGAACCTCTAACAGAAAATTGGTATATAGTTATTGAACAATACAGTACTTATATATTATTAGGATCAAAACATGGTTATAAAAGGAGCATTAGAAGAGCATTATGAAGTTGGTGAAACTTAACGAAACCCACCCAATTTAAATAGAGAAAACAAGCTGACCATGACAAGATTTAAAGGAACAACAATAAAACACTCTAATCAATTTGAATTTTTTTATTGTATTGAAACTAGTTCTTAGCTCTTTTTATTTTATTTTATATTATATATATATATTTATTTATTTCCCCCCTCTTGTTTCTGTTAATCTATGTGAATATTCGATGCCATTTGATTTCAATGGAAAGTACATCCTTCACTCTCTGTATAGCTGTGTTTATTTCATGTATATTCAGTATCATCCTTCTAACTATTCAGCACATCTTTATCAAAGATTTGAAAGGGCTTTGAAAGAGAGCATTTCTTCAAATGTAAGAATCCAAAAATTTTAACATTTTGCACTGTAGTTTTGCCTTACTAAGCAGATTCAACTTTAAAATAATAATAATAATAATTGGACTGTCAATAAGATGTTGGCATTTTTACTTTTAGTTCATAGTTAATGTTGCCCCCATTACTTGATATACTAGTTTGTCCTGTTGCTCATGCATATTTTGCCCAATAATGCATATTTTGTCCTGTTGCTCATGCATAGTTTGTCCTGTTGATATACTAGTTTCTCTTCTCCAGTTCCCTTGACCTGTTATTAAAGGTCTATAATGTCTCATAGCCTAATACATTGTGCATTGTAAAAACTCAACCACAATTTTTACACACTGCTGCTGCTGCTCTCCAGAAAAATGCTGCAGCTGCTAACCCAGACACCTTCTAACCTCAGCAGTTACACCCAGTAAACAAACCACACCAGCTGTAGCACCCTTCACCTCAGCAGCTGCAGCACCTGATTCAAATTGATCACAAAATCATGAACTGTGCAGCATCACTAGTGGCACCATATTCCAAAATTTTCTCTCCTTCATCTTGAGCTTCACCCTATCCCACCATTGTTTAGACTTTATGGAATTATTTTGGAATTGTTTAGACTTTATGGAATTATTATTTTTTCTTTTTTTGACTTTGCAATTATTGCATTAATTTTAGTAGATTAGTATGAACCTTACACTATCAACTTCATAATTTTAGACTTATAGAATGGGGAGGGACCAATCTATTCACCTTAAACTGATCCAGGTGAAAGACATGCAAATCATTGAAATACCTGCACATGGAAACCTTCAAATATTACATGTTGCAGCAAACCAAAAATCTAAATACAATCACACCAATAGAGTTTAACTATTTGATTCCATGACGAGTAAATAAACCACTATAAACAAGGTTCAGATCTGGACTAGAGTTGAATTATTTGATTCCATGAAAAGTAAATGAACCACTATAAACAAGGTTCAGATTTGGTTCAGTTTTCATTATTCAGGCCTCGTTGAGCTACAGAAAATTCTAATGCAAAACTGTTGAAATCATGTAAATTTTCCTGTGTACAATCAAACCAGCAAGATTATCAATTTCATCTGTGCAGTTTCAATCTTTAGTTTATTTAAGTATTATGGGTCACAAATAATCAATTTTTTTACATGAAAAAAAAAGAAAAAGCATCAATTGTTTTTAATTAAGTACTTAATGTCTTTCCTGAAATAAGTAGTAGAGAACTTATTTGAAAGAATAAGAAAGTGAAGAGGAAGTCTCCTTCCTCAAAACACCTATATTTAGTGACTACTATTTCTGATATGTATCATCTAATCAACTCCATAATGGAGTTGAGACCATCTCCCTAGACAAAGTTTTTGACTTGAAGATGGGCTCAGCAGATATCTTACCCTGCTTAATCCTGAATCATTGTCCAAGAATGTGTTGATCCAACTTGCTGAACCCTCTAAAATGTCAAGAATTAGTATCTTGCTCAACCAAAATAAACTAGCACTGATTTGGAATAGGCAAACTTTCTAGCTCGACATTTGAATGTGCTTGTTTAAGTAAAAACATATCTCATGCAATCATCAAGACCTTAAACAAGTACACAAAGCCAGAACCACTTCAAGGTAAAATATATATAAATTTTGAAAAAGAAAACATAAAATTATACCACACAAAAGTATCCAAAATAAATAATGGGATTAAACCCCTTGTATATGTTTAGGACAGAAATGATCTAGAACAATTGGTTTTAAATGATACCACACAAGAAGATTAGAGGAGGCTATGCTAGAACAATTGGTTTTAATTCCTTATAATATTAGGTAATTATCTAAAACTATTTATTTCATGTGTTCAAATGATAATAAACTTATTAAGCTTATACTTGTGACTTGTTCAATTGTAGGTACCATTGGATATTGTTAGACATTGATCTAACATTGATGATTGTATACTTACTTGATCCGATTAATTCTAAAATAAACACAAGCTTTGAAATTGTAATAAACACGTAAGTTTGGCTAGTTCGTACATTTTTAAGCAATTTGAGTTACTCTAAAAATATTTTGACATTTGGAATTTCTTTTGTAAAGTGCTTTGAAAATTTATGAAACTACCTAAAGGAGCAAGAGGACCAATCCAGTTTGGAAAGTAGTTCAGGTAATCAATATCATTTTCTCAAATTTTATCATACTTATATTATGCTAATGATTGTTCAGCTTGATCATAACACGTTATATATAGTTTCTAATAATAATGAAAATGCTTTTATATAGTCCCTGTGTCACGACCCCAAACCGCCCCTAGTAGTTTGGTGCCGTGATGGCTAGTAATCCGAGATTACCGAAGGCCAACTTACAAAATTCACACACAATCAGAGTATAGATATAGGGGGCTCACAAGCGCGGAAGCAATAATCTAAAATACAAGTGGTCCATAAGAGCAGTGCATAAGTTAAATGAAATGGCATACATCTTTACATAGCTTTACAACTTGAATACAAATAGAAATGAAGTACAAAAACACATATTACATCTTGGAAAAAGGCTTCTAAGGCCGACATGTTCAAGATACAAAGGCTTCAAGATTGCCGACATCATTACAACCGACATAACATGCATACAAAACACACATCTCGGCGTAGCCGACTTCTTGCTTGTTACCTACATATATACATAGGGAGGGTGAGCTTGGATACTCAATGAATGGTATAAGAAATAAAGGGGTTAAATGAATGATTCCCGAGGTCTTTCAAAACAATACATAATATATCTTTGTCAAAACCATACTTATCGTAGCTTGTACAAAACATGAGATAAATCTTGTTCATCAAACTTGATCTTACAAAACTTACATAACATACGTCAAATCTTATAACATAACCTCGGCATAACCTTGGTCCTTCAAAACTTACTTCCTTACTTACAAGACCCACACGGTAACCGCCAGTGGCAAAACAAGACCAAGTAAGAAGGCCTGTAGCCCTTTAACACTTGGGAGCTACGCAAGTTTAGAGTCCTCCAACACAAGGGACCTATGTTACAAGAGCCCGTAGCCCTTTAACACTTGGGTGCTGCTCAAGTTTAGAGTCCTCCAGCACAAGGGACCTATGTTACAAAGGCCCGTAGCCCTTTAACACTTGGGTGCTGCTCAAGTTTAGGCAATGTTTAGAGCCTCCATCACAAGGGGACCATATGTTTTAAACAAGGGCCCGTAGCCACTTTTAACACTTGGTGCTGCTGCAAAAGTTTAGAGTCCTCCGCACAAGGGACTATGTTACAAGAGCCCGTAGCCCTTTAACACTTGGGTGGCTGCTCAGGTTTAAGTCCTCTAGCACAAGGGACTTTCCAGAAGAGTACAAAAAAAAGCTTAACTTGATAATTGGCTCATTCAAAACAAAGCTTATACTTGATAATATATAATAGGGATATCATTCATGCTTCAGCAAATACTTTTATCAACCAAAGCAAGCCTTTTTCAAAACCTTAAAGAACAATATCTTTATTAGAAAAGTACCACTCACACTAGTCTTGGGAACGTTCGGAATCAAGGCAAGGTCAAGTCCTACAAACAATGTCAAATACTTGAACATCTTCAAACAAGTCTTCACATAAATGCAAATGATCTGTGGGAAAACATGCTGGAAGTAAACACTTTACATTAGGGAAACATGCTGGGGTACACACCATGGTCTTTGGGAGGTTCCACATTCTGGCGCGAGGTGTGGCTACCGGCTTAAACGCTAGCGTGCATGAACTCGAGGTCTTGCCGGCAACACTCTGGCAATTAACCTAAGGCTCGTTAAGTGCGCAGGTGAACAATGCGCAGGTGTACATACGGTGCCATAGGTGGCAGGATAGCGAGGCTTCTGCGAACTCTAAGTGCTGATCAGCGGTCTAAGGTAAGAGCTTGCTAGTTGATCGGCGAGGTCGTACACTCTAGGGAAGATGAGTCCTGGAGATTGGGTTTCCCTCCTGAAGAACATGAGAGAAATGAACATGAAGCATAAGAACATAGATGCTAAAATCATAACTTGTTTACTACAAAAATCTGGATTTATGACTATGAATTCGAAAACATGGACGCTGGGTACCCATCCTTGAAAATCATTGCAAGAACAACACG